GTATGCGGGCCTCTCACTGTTGTGGCCTCTCCCGTTGCGGAGCACAGGCTCCGGACGCACAGGCTCAGCGGCCATGGCTCACAGGCCCAGTCGCTCCGCGGCATGTGGGATCCTCCCAGACCGAGGCACGAACCCGTGTCCCCTGCATCGGCAGGCAGACTCTCAACCACTGCGCCACCAGGGAAGCCCAATCCAATTACTTTTTAAAGGTTGTTTTGACTGCCTTACGGAGAAAAGATTATTAGAGTGATGTGATGGGGGAAAGTGTCTAGAGATTGAGCTATAACCAAGAGATCCATGAAATGCTTTGTGAGACCAATTATTTCAGGATTAGACCGGAAAAGTTTCATAAAGGAGCTGATCCTTGAAGGCGACCCTTGCTTAGCTAAGTCAGAGTTTGCCAGGAAAAAAAAAATGGAGAAATTGAAGGGAGAGAAGGGGGCACATTCCAGGCAGAGGGGATGAAGCATGCCAGAGATCTGTGCAGGTGATGATCATACAGAGAGCTCAGATCCCACAGGGGAAATCGAGGGGCTGTTTTTGAGCCAAGATTGAGATAAAAGCTCTAAGCAGACCACTAAATTAACGTTGAGATTCCTGGCAGCCAAGGCAAAACTGTTCTGCCTCCAAGTGTTTGGCTGACTTTGCTGCAGCCTTGGAAGAGGCACTGGGTATTACTATCCATCACTTTTTTTCCCTTCCTGGGCCCCAAGGACTTGGCTATAATCTAACCCAGCTCCCGAGGTCTCTCTAGAAATGGTCCCCAGAGCCAAAGCAAAAGCAGCCTCACCTGCCAGCTCCTCCACACCCACCCCCAATCCAGGTAATCCCCTTATTTCATTGCTACCCCTGATTCAGATCCAAGCAGAATCACAACCTCAGTTTAAAATTCCTTCTAACCATTTCCAGAATCAGACCTACCCTTAAGATTTGAGTGAAGAGGGTCTCAGGCCTTTGGTCCCTTTGTTGAAAACCCTTCCCTCCCCCGGTTGCCTCTGGTTCCTCTGCTCTGGCACTGCTGGGCCTCAGTGGTCACACAGGGCCACTGGGACAGGCCAAGGAGAGTGCTGGGGAGTTACAGACCAGTCCCCGCCCGTTATGCAGGTGTCCTCCTGTCCTGCAGGGTCGGACCGCCGGGATGCCTCTCGACAGAGTGGCCGGGACCCCTCCTCGTGGACAGTCGAGGACGTGATGCAGTTTGTCCGGGAAGCTGATCCTCAGCTTGGACCCCATGCTGACCTCTTTCGCAAACACGTAGGTGCCCCTGCCTGACCTCTCCTGTGTCCGCTGGGAGTCTTGCTTCTGCAATTTATAGACTCTTAAAGGGGCACGAGCTATATACTTGTTCTAGGTCCCTTGAAACTGAGCACAGGTGACACCATACAAACTGAGAGACAGAATCTTGGGTCCCAAACAGCCCTCCCTGGGCACTGAATTCAGCTCACTCCTTTAGTGTCGGATATGATTCAGCCACACTCCTACTGGGTCCCAGGGACAGGACTGTCCTCTCCTAGGAGCACCTGCTGTCCTAGCTACCTGCTGCGGCCTAAGGCCACGTTAAAGAGTCTCTTGCCAAGTGGCCCCCACTCTCCTACCTCATCAGAAGCCCATCCTCTACTTTCTCCGCTCTGAGCCCCCCCCATCTCTTCAAGTGGCCATTTGGCCCTGTGGCCAGGGGCTGCTGCTGACCCCCCTGCAGTGACCATACTCCTCATCTGGGGCTCAAACCCACTTCCCTGTAGCCCCTACCACCTGGTGCTGTTCTGTGCTTTGGGCACTCAGAACAGCACTACTGCCTCTCACTGGCCACTTACTCCTTCATGCCAGGTGGGTTTGGAGGGTGCTCTTAGATCAGGCCTGAAGGTCTCACAGCTGCTCAGCGAGTGCCTGCTTTGTGCCTGGCTCACGCGGAGGGGTCCCTGCTGCTCAGGAGGGGAGACGACTCACCGGATAGCCCTTGAGGGGTGGTACAGAAATAGTCCATGATGAGTGACAAGTACACTGACTGGGGAGGCCGCCTGGGAGGAGATGGAATTGAGCTGACCTCAGAGGTTTGGGAGCCAGGGAGACTGCCTCTCGGGCAGCAGAGAAAGGAGATCCCTATAAACGTGTGTGAAGAGCTTAACCCGGGGTGCGGGGGGGTTCAGTAGTAGATGCTGGGGAGGGGTGGCTGGAGACAGAAGCTGGGGAGAACAGGTAGGCTGTAGCATTGCAGCAGGTTCACTGCCACGTGGCTGGCATCTCCCTGGGTGGCCTTTAATCAGAACCTGGGGTGGTCAGACCACCCAGGCTCTGATGGCACCTCCCTCCATCCCCCCAGGAGATCGACGGCAAGGCCCTGCTTCTGCTGCGCAGTGACGTGATGATGAAGTACATGGGGCTGAAGCTGGGGCCTGCGCTCAAGCTCTCCTACCACATTGACCGGCTGAAGCAGGGCAAGTTCTGAACAGGGAGACGCAGCCTAGACAACCCAGGGATCCGGCAGAGGGGCCATTCTTCTCCCAGGAAGGAGGGCCATCGGCCCCCTCCCAGGCACCTCAGTGGGGTCCGAGGCTGCCTCAGGACTCCAGGAGGCTGTGTGGAGCTGCCAGCACTGCCCCTCCTGCCATGGTATGTCCTTCCATGAAGGGCCGAGACGGGCACGGGGCCCAGGGTTGCCGCTGCTCTTCCCCTCAGCCCTGCCTCGGCTCTGAGGTCTCCTGTATTTATTGCTCAGGCCTGGCCGGCCTCTCCCTAGGAATTTAGACTGAACGCCTTCCGAGTGATGGAGGAAGGGGCTGACCCCTGAGGCCTCGGAAGACGGGGCCCTGAAGTGACACTCGTGCCCGGTCCCCTCACCACCCGCAGGGCCTGGTGTGGCTCCCCATTACCCCACGGCTCCTGCCTTCTTCTCACGAGATCCGCGGACTCCAAACTCATGGTGCAGACCTCTACCTTTTTTAAGAAAAGATCTTTTCTTATTAATTTATTGTTTCTGGCACTTGGGCAAGCCCTCCAGTTCATACCCCTCTCGCTCCAGACACTGGGTTTCAGGAGGAGGGAGACTGCCCTGCCCCGGCCCCAGACAGGCCCTCTCCAGAGCGGCATGGCCCCTTTTCAGAGGACATTACCTAGGGTCCCTGTCCCCTTGCCTCTCTTCCTCCACTGGGCCCTCTGCAGCCTCAGCCTCATCTCTGGGAATGGGAGTCCCTGCCCTGCACTGTCCCCACCGCAGCTCCCTTGCCCTGGCCAGAATTTCTGCTGAGGAAGGTTGGGCCCAATGATTTTAAGCCAAGAAGAGGCCCTAAGATGGATGGGAGAAAGGGGCCTCTAGGCTGGAGTCTGGTTGTACCCACTCCACTGTCCACATGCTTCCTTTGTAAGCACGTCAGCAGCACAGCTGCCCCCGCTGCCATCTGGACTTATTTTATGTCAATTTGTTTATAAATAAAAAACAATATAGATGCCAGTGTCTTTGTAAAATCAGTCAACAGATAATCAGTGTGCCTCCGAAGGGCAGGTCACTCCCCTTGCCTTGGTCTTTGCTCCTCGTTTTTATCTATGAGGAAACTTGGACAAGATGCTCCCTGAGTTCTCGTGACTCCAGCAATCCCTAGAGAACAGGCTGTCTGCCACGTGCCCACTGGGGCCCCAGCATGGCGTAACCCCTGGGGAGACGGTATGAGATCCGTTCTCTGCCCTCAAAGGGCTTTGTGCTGTGGTGCAGCCAGACAGCAGAGTGGAGGGAGCAGCCACAGGAAGCCCGAGCAGGAAGGACAGTATTAGGGTCAACGGCTCCAAGGAGCCTCAGCGGCAGGGGTGAGGGGAGATGCAGGCCAGCCTGCGGGGCACCTCATGCGCCGTCCAGGGGCCAGTACTCCAGTCCAGAACCTCACTTCCCTGTTTATAAAGGGCCCCAGGAGGAGAGGGTGTGGGGCAGTAGCACAGTGCAGTGTAACCTGATAATGACTAACACATCACTGTGTGCCCCACCAGCTGTGCCATCTGAATTAGAACGATCTCATATAATCTTCACAACAGACCCACTTTATAGATGAGGAAACTTAAGCTCTGATTGAATAGCCAGGAACTGCCAAAGTAGGCATTTAAAGCCCAGGAATCTGACTCCAAGGCCAGGGCCGAGGTTCCAGCCAGTGCAGCTACTTTATGTGATGCTTTAGGTGGGTCATTTCCCTCCTTTGGGCCCTTCTGGCTATGAGGGGGTTAGACGAGACCTCTACGGATCCTACCAGCCCTCACCAGCGACTAGTTCCAACATGGTGTTTTCCACTTGGCCACTGTGAGGTTCTAATCATGGGCCCCGTGAAGCAGTCAGGGTCGGGGCTGCCGAACTAGAAGAAGCCCATTTTCCACAGACTCCTGGACCTGTGTCCCGTAGGCTGTGCTGTTCATTCAGGGTACTCCCAAAGGGGGCCTTATTGGACCTGGCGACAAACTTCTGGATGTGAAGGTGACACCAGCGTATGCAGGCAGGCCAGGTGTGCTGCCAGGCCGGGCTTGTGGAGCAAAATGGCTCCCACCCCACCCTGTCCCTCGTCAGCAGGCACATTCAACTTGCCAGGGAACAGTCGTTAAGGGCTTCTTGGTGCTAAGTTGTTTGTGTACGTTAGCTCGCTTAAACCTCGCTTACAGCTCTCAGAGATAACCACCATGTTCCCCCATTTTAAAGATGAGGAAACTAAAACTTAGAGAGGTGAAGTTATAATACTTGCCCCAAATTCCATAGCTAATGAGGGGTGCGAGACAGCATACTGCCTGCCACACCCACCAGACAGCCTTTGTCTTGGGTCCTGCTAACCATGCAGACTCGACTCCCACAGGCTACACTGGGGGTGGCGCTCACTTTGCAGACAGACCAGACACCTTGCCAGCATAAAGCAGGCCTTTCCGGTGGAGCAGTCCTTGCAGAGCCCACAGTCATCCACGACCATTCTTTGTTACCCAGGTGACAGCTCAGGTGCAAGGGGATGACATACTAGGGAGAAGTGGGGTTCACCTTGGTTTAGAAGCATCGTGCCACAGGGCAGCCAGTAACTCCCTAGTGCCATAGGCACAGCTTTCAGGTCCCCGTCAGGGACGTGCCTACTGGGTCCCTGTGCTCAGGAAGCCCTGCAGGAAGGGCTATTTACAGTCTATGCACAGCACTCCTAGACCAGGTGATTTACAAGTAGGGGTCATTTTTATCATAAGCACTGTTGCCTTGAAATGGTTGCCATTCCATTTTTATCTGGTTTCCAAGGGAACAGAACTAGAAGGGTAACCAGATGTCAAATTCTGCAGAAGGGGAAAGGACTTGTTACCGTTTCACTCATGCTGCCCTAACCTCTGGGGTCAGAATTGAACGTCATTTAAGAGAACAAACCAATTAAAAAACAAAAACAAAAAAACCAAAACCTCGACTTCTGAAATTGTTTCACAAAGCCAAGCCGCCTAATAGTGACCCAGAGTCATCCAAAGAAGCTGAAATGGTGTCCGGTGGGTGAGACCACACCACTGATCCCGACAGGGCAGCCACCCACAAAGCAGGAAGGTGGGTGGGGAAGTGGGACTGGGGGACAGAGGCCTCTGGGAGCAGCTTCCTGGGCCCACCCTCATCGCCATGACAAGGAGAGACATTGACTCCGGTGCTGAGGAACATCAGGAAGGAAAAACCCAGGCACTTCAGGAGAGAAGAGAAGAGCGCAGCGCAGGCTCCGCTCAGGGCTGAATCCTTGGGGAACCTCTGCCCCGTCCCCACCTGTGGTCCCTCCCCACCTGCCGGCTGCGTGGCCCGTGTCCCTGGGCTCTGCTCTGTCTCTGTTGCCCAGGCTGTTAGTCCTAAGCGGAAGTGTCCACAGCACCCTCTTCGGCATCTTTGTGGAACAACCCAGAGACCCTTCTCTGGGCTGTGTCACCGGCGGGCCAGGTGGACACAGTTTCTGCCCTCGCGCCCGATGTCACAACCCCTCCTCAGAAGAGCCACAGGTGACTCGCCCCTTGTCTTACAAATAAAGTTGAAAGCACGGAAAACTGTCTTGCCTAGGAGACTCCAGACACTCCCTCCCGCCCCTGTCGTCCCTCAGCTTTTTTGCAGCCTCCTTACCTTAATGCCCCAAGTCACCCCATCCCATCAGGGAAGCTCCCCAGCTGGAAACCTCAAGGCCAAGCGTGAGAACTGTATGTGTGTGTGCTTGTCCTCCAACACCGAAGCCACCGAGGATGCTGCCAGGGGCCAGCGGCCAGCAGGTCCCAGGGTACAGACACCAGGCCCGAGATATCTGTGGGCAGCTGGGCTGGTGCTGTCAAAGGATGGGCAGGAATCAACAGGTGGCCGCTGGTAGGCAAGGGGAGGAGTCAAGACTGAGACTGGAGCGTCCAGGGGCCCGGATGGCGAATGCTGCGTCCACACCACTCTTCCCCTGAGTTCCAGAGTCTGTTCTCCTGACAGCCTGTCCTCTCCCACTTAACGGCTGAGCTTAGCCGTCGCCCCTGCCCCATCCCCTGCCCCTCAGCTGGGGTCCCTGGGCGGTTCGCGCAGACACCCATGCGTGCTACGGTGTGGAGGATCGCAGCCACAGGCGCCACCAAGTGGACACTCGCCAGATAACGCAAGAAGAGCCCTATCCACAGCCTCCCTCTGCCCCTCATCTTTGGGCCCACCTTGCATTCTTTTTTTTTTTTTCTCTCATTCTTTTACTTTATATATTTGTTTACATCTTTATTGGAGTATAATTGCTTTACAATGGTGTGTTAGTTTCTACTGTATAACAAAGTGAATCAGCTATACATATATCCCCATATCTGCTCCCTCTTGCGTCTCCCTCCCTCCCACCCTCCCTATCCCGCCCCTCTAGGTGGTCACAAACCACCACTGAGCTGATCTACCTGTGCTGTGCAGCAGTTCCTACCCACCTTTCATTCTTAACTTTAAATTCAAGAGGTTTTCTTCCTCCAGTGCCAAGTAGGGGTTGTCATTAAGGTCACAGACATCCAGCGAGAGGACTAAAAGGGGCTGCTGTTCCATAACGCTGAACTCGTGTCCGCCATCACCCAGGTGTTAGCCTGAGATGCTGTAAATAACCCAGTTTATACTGCGGTGCGTTTCAGTATGTGAAATATCATTTTGTAAATGCTTACGATGAAAGACAATTTTTACCCCCGCCAAAAAAGAAGTGGAACTGATGTTCAGCTCACGTAAGGCTGTTAACAGAGCCCAGGGAAATATGTAATACAATCGTTTAAAGAGATTTCCAGTAAGAATGGGGAAAGATTTGGCACTCAAAATCAGTTTGGGAAATTTCATGCCAAACAGCTGCCTGATAGCGAGGCCCCTAGAGAAGTATGTTACGTTCACGTGTTTGTTATGTTCTCTGGTACATCCACGTGTATGCTCATCTGTCAGGGCGCCTCTCCCGGCCAGCTGTCTTGTCTCTGCATAACTCATCATGACTCGAGTTAACCATCCAA